ATATAAACATTTAATAATGAGCAATAACAAAAACAAAAGTAGAAAAAAAAAACAAAGCAGGAAATGATTCTTTCAGCAACCTAAAACATGAACAAACTGCCATAATTAATTATTATCGTCGACTTTTGGACTATTATGAACTCGGAATGACACAAAGAATTCCTAACAGGATGCATATATATATACATACATATAATATAGGAAAACGGCCAGTTTTATTTGTCACAAATATTAAAAACTTAGTTATTGCCTTTATAATAGAAAATATGAGCTAGACATCATGTATGACAGTTGTCAAGGTGAGCTACTGTATATAGGAGACATCTTGCATGTACATATAGGGCTTATAATATGAATATTAAAAAAAGCAATACATGAGACCTACAGCCCCCCTTTAATTTTTTAATCTTTTTTTTAATCTTTTTTAAATATTTCTCAAATGAAGTTTAACAGAGCAAGGAAATTTTCACAGTATGTCTGATAATATTTTTCTTCTGGAGAAAGTCTTATTTGTTTTATTTCGGCTAGAATAGTTTTAGAGCAGTTTTCGTTTTTTTAAAAACCATTTTAAGGTCAAAATTATTAGCCCCTTTAAGCTAAACATTTTGTGATAGCCTACAGAACAAACCATCATTATACAATAACCTGCCTAATTACCCTAACCTGCCTCGTTAAACTAATTAACCTAGTTAAGCCTTTAAATGTCACTTTAAGCTGTATTGAAGTGTCTTGAAAATATCTAGTAAAATATTATTTACTGTCATCATGGCAAAGATAAAATAAATCAGTTATTAGAAATGAGTTATTAAAACTATGATGTTTAGAAATGTGTTAAAAAAATATTCTCTCTGTTAAACAGAAATTGGGGAAAAATTTTAACAGGGAGGCTTACAATTCATCTGTATATGGCCTGTATATGTACATATATGTGCCTTAATTTTGCCTATATGTGACATAAATACACACATATGTGCATATATAGGTTTCATATTTGTGCATATATCCTCATTTTGGTTGGACAGAACTACATAGAACTACAGTCGCATATGCGCAGAGATCTGTTTGACAAAACTGACATAAAAACATGCTTGGACTGAGCCCCAACCCCAGACATTCTTAAAGTCTTTAGCAACCAATAATTAACTTCTTTACTTAAAAGCGAGTCTTCCTTTACTAAAGCGGCCATATTGACCACAACATTTTTTTCCATTCAAAACTATACGAGTGGCAGGTCTTTTGTATTGCATAATGTTTGATGAAATCGGGATTCTTGTTAATGTCACACAAACTATTGCAGCATGAACACACACAGTCTGCTTTAGCCAGGAGACACAATAACAGAGTATATCATATACATGACTTGACACATATCACAAAACATATCGAATCCATCTGAATACAGCAGTGAATGGTGTATTTTAAAGCAAAGAAACAGACAGACTCAACATAACTATTATAGACTGTGGCTGTCAGGAGTCAGACAAACTTTACCTCAACAACTTTTACTGAGAGAGCTGTGATTAGAACTAAATTCAGCTGACTGTTTTTTTTAAAAAAGGCAAGGAGCTAGTGAATATTCCACACCCTCTTCAGGTTTCAATTAAAATTACGTCACAATAAATGCTCATTTTGAGGCATTTCAGGGGATGTTTAATCACCTGTGTTGCTCTGGATGATTCATTTGCTGCAAAATTTTTGGGTGCTAATGCTGTTGTGAGCCATTTTTAACCATGGAGGGCAAAGCTTCCCTCCGGACGTGCGTGTCTTTAGGGATAATGAGCAACCAACTGAGCTTTAATTCTGACACCTGCCTGCCTACATTTATTTCATTGTCCCCGAGTTAAAAATAGATGCAGCATTCCTGTTCTGCTGGAGAACAGCTGAACAATATAATTAGATTTACTGTTATATTGTTCACTCTCACTATCGAGTTAAGGCACCCTTGATGGATAATAGCATACGGTTATTATAAAAATGAGGGGAAGATTTACAATCAGGTGGTTATTATTACACAAATAAACTTTAATACTCTTGTATCAGGATAAATTGGCTTGGTAAGGATCATCATCAATACACATTGTTCTTTTGTGTAAACAATAAAGCATTTTAAGAAGAAAAAGAATAGCGTTAATAGAAATGCTTAGAAAGCATCAATAGAATTTTTGAAAATATTAGATTACTCAGTGTTTTCGTTTTTTTCTTTTTCTATTGTTTTTGTGAACAATATGTGGTCTTTGGTTTTAAAAGTGTCATATCAAGGGCTTTTCACTGCAGAGAAAGCTGAAATGCCAATGCTGATATAATTCATACATTGCATCTAAATGAATAGGATTAGCAGGAACAGTGCATTCACATGCAAATAATGTTTCAACATTTTCATGCACCATCACAACACAGTGCTTCAACATCACTTTGATTGCACAAGACCTTTCTGTCCTGCTCTTTATGCTTCTAATTAAAATCTACAAAGTAAATCATGCTTGCCAGACTCCTGCAGAAGGATGCTTTGTACAGATGGTTTATGTTTGTAGTATCTTAATGTTTGTAATAAGAGATTCAGTAACATAATTGCTTTATATGATGGACAGATTTAATTTGGGCTTTTATTCACATATGAACATCAATCAGCCTAAGAAAGAAAATGTTACTCAAAACTAAGACACCAGTTAGAGGCACAGCTATTACTGGAGTATATTTTACAATAATATTATTTGACTGATTCAAAGTGTTTCTTGACATTACTTGTAAAATTGTTAGAAGTTAAGTTTCGAGATTTAAAATTTAGGATTATATTAACAGATTTGGATCTACACTGTTTTTTTTTTTTTTTTTTTTTTTGCAGAAGCTTTTTAGCTAATCTTTAATACATTAAAATTTGTAACAATATTTATAATTTATGTTCCAGATTAATATTAAAATAATAAATACATAAATAATAAAATAGATAGATACAAAATGTTTATAAACATAAATAATAAATTATTATTAAAAATGTATTTATGTGTTATTTTAAACTTAATAGTAAATGCACTCATTTAACTAATTTTCACATATATGTATTTTTTCTTTTATTATTATCTATTAATTATTGTAAGCAGTCATAAGTAATAGGGTTATTTAACTAAAACCATAAAACTAAAAATGTGCTAAAATAAATTCTTTTAAAAAATGTAAGATCTATTAAAATGTATAAAAACATACAATTACAACAAGACCTTTACAACAACGTTACCTAAAATAATATACAAATTGAATTAAAATAAATTTTAAAATTCAAATTAGAAAATCTGAGTCCTTTATTTGAGAAAGAGGCATACCTCAGGGCTCAGTATTAGGTCCACTTGTCTTTTATATTTTTAGCAAATAGAAAAGAGAAGTTTTCTCTTTAAGTCTTCAATTTTAACTATTCTGGTAATCTCTTGAATCTAATTCAAAACATACTTTTATAATATTTTAATTGTTCTGCAAAACTGGCTTTGTCTGGCCATAAGATAAATTAATGATATGAAAAGCTTTAAATTTTTAACATATATTGGCCACTTTTTAAATTATTTAAAAAATATATATATTAAAACAAAATAATGTATGAGCCGAGCATCTGAACAAAAGCCATAGGGGAGAGCAGGGCACAAAGTAACACTCTTTGGTTTTGGCCAAATAATAAACAAAGTAATAGGGTTATGCAAAGCCTCTCCTACAAACAAGCACTGAAAGTATGATCGCCAGACCTATGGTTTCTGTGCAGTATTGTCAAAAGTGCTAGGAGTAAAAATGTTACTATCCCACCTGTGGTGAAAGTTGTAATAGACAGAAGGTTAGTTGCAACATGATTAAAAAGTCAGATTTCACAAATTTAGTTTAAATACAGTTTACTTTAAATTGTACATTTCCTTTGTACTTAATTCAATTTTTTTAATTCTACTTAGCACAGAATTTTCATTTATCCATAGGATAAACACATTTGGATTTATTTACATAGCCAGTTTTCCTCAAAACTGGCTAGCAGTCACTGTGTATTATTTACATCTTTCAAAATGGTTCTATCTTTAAGTCTAGTAGATGGTAATCACAACAATATAAGGTTTTATGTACATGCTTTCACAGATTTCTTTTTAAATGAAAAATATCGGCTATAAAAAATGCTTCTGTGTTGCAAAAACGGTTTCTCCTGTTTCTAACCCAAATTTCACCAAACTTTTTCAATAATTGGCAGGGAGACGTCTGCGGACATTGTGGTGAAAACCTCAAAAGTATGTCATGGCTAACCCTAAACAAATTCCATTAATTTTTTTTTCATTTTACCCTGTGCTACATTTTGCCCCGCGCTCCCCTAACTATTTCAAGAGTTCACACTAAGCTGATGATTGATTATAAAGCTTGTTTGACATGCTGTCTTGGGAGAGAGCCCTGAGCTCATAAGACCCTCGAACCAGGCGCTCCCTCCCGTTTGCAAGGTGAGAAACACACAGAAATGTCGACTGGCTTGGTACGGACTAGAACCATTGACGATCTTGCTGTGAGGCAACAGTGCTAACCACTGGGCCACAGTGCCACCCATCTAGGAAAAGAGGAGAAGTAGGGGTGGAAGGGGGGATTCTTCAAAATGAAGATGGCTGTCATATGGAACTTGGGGTATTTATAGTGGCTTAGGAATCGTCTGATTGGTGAATCATAAATTGAATAATGTGGGGCCGGCTGCAAGCAATCAAAAGCACATGATCCTCTCGAAATTAGTTTATAAATAAACTTCACTTAATTCTTAAAACAAGTCATTTGTTATGTGTGAATAAAGGTTACTTTTAATGTTCCCCTTTCCTCCTCTGACAAGCAGTCACTGAATCTGATGTGTGTATAACTTCCGTAGGATATTTATCTGTCATCTATTCCTGATATTGATGGTTTCGGTCATTTAGGACTCCCAGTATCCAGGGCAGACTAATCAGAAGCTAATAATGAGAAGAGCGTCTGTGTTGTGTTTTTTTTTTTTGTCTGGATTGCAGACAGGGGCCACTGAAGCCAGAGGTTCTGCCCATTCAGTGGTCCGGAAGGAGATCTAATCGAAGACTTCAAAGGAATAACAGCTTGTCTCCGAACAACCCGCTCCTCAACCTTGTCAATTCAGGTGATTATTCTCAGCCTCAGACCTCTAGAGGACCGAAAGGCCACATACACACACACACAGTGGCCAAGCAGATGACAGCAGATCTGGAGACAGATTTAGATGGGGGGGATTGTATGAAAACATTGGTATAGACTGAAGGGTAAGAATATAGCTGGTAGACATTTTTAAAAATAAATGAGTAATAAAGTAAAATTAATATTGGAATTAAAGAGTGTATTTCACACATGATAATCTATAATATTTTTATCCATTTTAGTAGATTTTGTTCATGCCTGCTATGAATTTTGGATGCATACAATCATTGGTAGCTTTATTAGGTAAAACTTGCTTGTACCATGTTGGACTTCGTTTTGCTTTAAAGGTAAAGCTTACCTAAAAGATGAAAATTTACTCACTATTTCCTCAACCTTTCAGTCGTTCCAGCTCTTTAAGAATTTATTCCTCCTGTTGCTGTTTCTTCTATAGGTCTGAAAACTTGTAACTATTGACATTAATGCAACACAAACTCATTGGGAATATGTGCCCAGAGCTACATTTTTGAGAACCGAGAAATATGTACTCAATTGGGGTATAACGGTACACTGAAGTCACACTTCAATATGTACCTTGGTTTTGGAGTCATGGTTCAATACGGATACGATACAACAGGAATATGCAACAAATCCCCAGTGCTTGCTTTTTCTGTTTATTTTGAACTGACTTGGAGGTCCATCTATAACAGCGGTTGCAGTGGAAAACAACTGTTGAATCTTGTGCATGTGTAGAGAAAAACAACTCAATGCTTTTTCAATGTAAACAATGTTTTGTGTGTTAAACTATTGCTATGGGGCAGTAATGCTGACTGCTTACCTTAGTATGGACCGCTTTTCCTGCATAACTGGTTTGCTCAGCTTGCTACGTATGGTGTCAGACTTGGGAGGCAGAGTGGACCTTGTTTTATTTGCAAATATGTGCCCAGGGCTGCATTTTTGAGAACCAAGAAATATATGCCCCAGGATATGTAATGGCTGCGTTTTGCATGTAAAACGAATTATACTAGGCAGTATCGCTGCACTGTTAACCCCGTTGTTGTCAAAACTAAAGATATGAAGTTAATATAACTTGACATTACGTAAAATACCAAGTTTTGGCATCAAAACTTAAACAGATGTGCTTAACTTACTCATTAGGCAGCAAAAAAAAATGTCATTAATATTTTAAGTTCTCTGAACTTAACATTTTAATTTCTTTAAATGATTTACCATGTCTCTGTTTAAAATGATTGGTTGCGCTTGAAATTCTGCCTTGATAACCGCGCTGATTGGTTGATATATGATACAAGATGGACATTTTGCTTGTAATACTGAATACTGCTGAAGCGCAGCAGGACAGAGCCACTACCTGAACCCTGACAAAAGAGAAAAGTTAATTTAGTAAGTAGATATTTAAATACTTACATGTATATGCATGTTTCTAAATTGATATACACAAAGAGGGGACTCTGTGGCGCAGTGGGTAGTGCTGTCGCCTTACAGCATGAGTGTCACTGGTTTGAGCCTCGGCTGGGTCAGTTGGTGTTTCTGTGTGGAGTTTGCATATTCTTCCCATAGGCTTCCTCCGGGTGTTCTGGTTTCCCCCACAAGTCCAAAGACATACGCTACAAGTGAATTGGGTGAGCTAAATTTGTCTGTAGTGTATGTCCTGGTCCTCCGGGTTGGGGGTTGAGCATTGGGGTAACGACCCACCTTGTAAAAATTTTATGTTACAGAACACCAACATGGTACAGCAAAATATCAATTTCAATATAAAAGGCCCTGAGACTAAGTAAGTAAGTAAAAGATTATAAAAGCTGAAAATGGAAGTTTAGTCTATTAGATATGTAAGTTATCTATACTTAAACATTTAAGTTAATTCAATGAAGAGACCACATTTGGTCAACTCAATTGCGTTGTTGATTTCCTATTACTTAAACGAACTGAGGAACTTTACTCAAATTATTTGAGTAGTCTCAACTTATTAGGGTTTACAGTGTGGGGAGTCCAGAGAAAGATGGTTCCAGAAACTATGTAAAAAAAACTCAAAAAAAGCTGTGTAATACCATGGTAAAAACATGATAACTGTCCTGTCATTTGTTTTTTTAAAACACTATTGGTCTGATGGGTCAGTCAATATCAAGGAGATATATTATTCACAACAAGCCGACCGGCTTCTCTCATGCAAATGTTTGAGAAGGATGATATATTTTCCACAACAAGCCGACCGGCTTCTCTCATGGACATGTGTGAGACGGATGTTGATTATTGGCAGAAATTTACACAGCGACCTCTGGTGGATTTATGAGAAATGACACACATGAAAAAACATGCCCCAGTAACGTATTTGAAGTCATCAAAAACGTACTCGGTGTCTCTTAGGAAAACAAATACTGAAAGCACACATAGCCCAGGGTACATACTTCTTGGCTCTCAAAAATGTAGCCCTAGGCACATACTATGGAAGTCTGGTCACATTTTTCAAAACATCTTTAGTTTTTTTTCAACAGTAGAAAGAAACTCATAAACGTTTAAACAAGTAAAAGCTGAGTAAATGATCACAGAATTCTCTTTTTTTTTTTTTTTTTTTAGGTGAAATATCCCTTTAAGAACTGCCTTAATTATCCCTGGCTTTAATTCAACAGGGCGCTTGCTCAATTTCTCCAAAGATTTGAACAATATTCTGTTGCTATATGCAATATGAAAGTGAAAAAAAGGTGAGAGAACTGTTTTTCTTTCTGCAGGTCTGTATGAAGAAGACAACCAGTGGATAACACAGGTCAACAGGCTGCAAAAGCTGATCGACCGTCTTGAGAAAAAGGCAACAGGCTACACACATGATTTCTGTCTTATTAATGACCTTGTTATGTCTGTCATCACTCTTTCTCCATACAATCAAATTGGACCAAAACTGTCAAGATGTCCTGGTGATTAAAAAAAAATCTGACCCTTACTTTTTGCAAATAACACTTGTTAGTAAACATTGGCCATGCAGTGCAGCCAGCACAAAAACTATATATAATCTAAATGCAGTGCTCAGCATATATACAAGTACACCCCTCACAAATCCCTCATTTAACCTAATATTTTCTATAGGATGCTTTATAATATAATATTTGTGCATAGTCAGTATAAAAGCCATGTCTAGAGCTAATCTAACAAAATAACTTGCATTAAAGGTCCAAAAGTTAGTAGCTGTTTAATAAATCGATTTTGTTCAAAAGAACCAAAATATGAGTGACGCGGTGGCCCAGTAGGTAGTGCTGTTGCCTCACAGCAAGAAGGTCGCTGGTTCTAGCCTTGGCTGGGTCAGTTGGCATTTCTGTGTGGAGTTTGCATATTCTCCTGCGTTGACATGGGTTTCCTTCGGGTGCTCCAGTTTCCCCCACAAGTCCAAAGACATGCGGAACAGTTGAACTGGGTAAGCTAAAAAATGTAGTGTATGTGTGTTAATGAAAGTGTATGGGTGTTTCCCAGTGATAGGTTGCAGCTGTAAGGGCATCCGCTGATGTGATGGATAAGTTGGTGGTTCATTCCGCTGTGGCAACTCCAGATTAATAAAGAGATTAAGCCAAAAAAAAAAAAAAGAATGAACGATCCAAAATATATTACCTTTATTCACTGAGAAATGAATAAAAATATTCATTTTGGAAATGGGGTGCACTCATTTATGCTGAGCACTTGTACATGCATAATACACACATAACATAAAATATAGTTATTTACATTCTTTAGGAGTAAAATGTAGTAGGAAATACCTTTGCATCAGTAAACCGAGTATGAACCTCCAGACACCATCCACAGTAAGAGCGACGTTTAGATGTTGATACTGTATGTGCTGCACTCCTTCCTCTCACTGACTAAATAAACACAGAATGACAGCAGTTAAAAACATCTGATCACCACAGTATAAGATTTACACAAGCTGTGCAATTGAATAGCATCATGTCAACAGATGAAGTCATTCAAATTACACTTATGAGAGTTTAATTGTATATTAATATGCAGGCAGTGGAGTAAAGTAACAAATGACTAATGCTCAAATTACTGTAATTGAGTAGTTTTTCTCAGGAATTGTAATTTACCAAGTAGTTTTTATAAATGTGTACATTTACTTTCTCTTGAGTACATATTTCGTGCTGTATTGGTACTTTTACTCCACTACTTTCCTTCAACCTGCAGTCACTACTTTATTTTGTCTTGTCTATGCGAATTAAAAAATGAGTCCTGTGATTCCTGTCTAATCAAATAGAAGGTAACATAGAAGGTAAATCACATCATAATGAGCAACCTCAAGACATGGGCAACTTATTATGGCAGAAAACAGTTTGGAAGAATTAAAAGAACCCAAGTAGATGTCCAAAATCGTCACACATATTCACCTAGAAACTGTTTAGATGCATGTCACTGATGAGAAGATGACGGATGTTTACTGTATGATGACCAAAATGGCCTTAAACACCCAGCAGACACAAGACATCAACATGACATTGGTTTAAGATGATGGCTCGACGTTGGATTTTGGTCACTTTACACCACAAACTAAAATCAAGCAAATATCACTGGCATTTCATGTCGTTATTGGGAATCAAAATAACATTGTCCTTAGACACTGGCTAGACGTTGAGTTTTGGTTACCTGACATCACAACCTAAATCTAACCTAATATTAAATCTTATGACGTTGTATGCCTGATGGCCAATAACTAAATACACTACTGAATGTTACGTTTACACACACATCCACAAATTACATGTACTGTAAATGCATTAGCTTTTCACTGTTTAATACTCACTACTCTTATGTCCTCTTGATCCCTTTCTTTGCATGAAAAACTGAACATTCACTATCAATTATTATGCAGAATAAAAAAAAATAAAATATTCAGATGCATCATACTTATAACAATTAGATTTTTTATTCTTTAATAATAGAATAATACATTTTTATAAATACAATAATGAGAAAATTATGGTAATAAATTAAGTAACAATTTACACCATTTACTGCTGACTTATTATCTGCCTATTATAAAGAAAGTAACTGTTTATTAGCACTTATAAAGTATGACTTTATTTAATGTCTCTAATCCTCAATATCTAAACCCAACTACTACCCGAGTAACTATTAATAAGCAGGTAATTGGTAGTTTATTGAGATAAAAACTTAGTAAATGATCTCAGTGGTTGCTAATAGCGTGCATTTACATTAAAATAACAAAAATATTTACATGTACATTAAAATAAAAAGGTGACGAAAAGTATTACGCTGCATTGGTTTTGATGAGAATATTTTATTGATCTATTTTTGCATTCCAGTAATGAACTTTTAGAGAAAAATGTAGTTGGTTGTCGTGCAAAATAAAATGAATAATAATAATAATAATAAATACAAATAAATTAATAAACAATACAGCTTTTTATTCTTTAAACATTTCTAACATATGACCCTTGACCCTAGAAACAAAATTGCATGGGTATATTTGTGTGAATATAGACAAAACAATTATATGGGTAAAAATTAAACATTTATTTTATTTTAAAAAATCATTAGAATATAAAGTAAAGATCATGTTCTGTGAAGCCATTCTGTACATATCCTGCCATAAATATAACAAAACTTATTTTTCAATTAATATTATTTATTGCTAATATATTAATTTACCTTTTATGGGTGTTTTCTTGGTATTTGGATTTTTTAAACTCTCAGATTGCAGATATTCAAATAGTTATATATATTATTTATAGCCAAATATTGTCCAGTCCTAACAAACCATATAATACATCAATGTAAAGCTTAACTATTCAGATAATGTACCCATATTATTGGTTTTTCTGGTCCAAGGTCACATCTTTTAATTTAGGGTAAAATGTCATCCTAAAATTTGTCCTGAGATGAAACTGAGACTGTATTTCATTCTCAGGAGCTGCGTTTGGAGCCGGTGGAGGAAGAGGTGTTGGAAAGCTCCACCAAATCAGTAAGTCATTTATGTTCTCCCTGTCGATCACCGTATTCTCAGAAACCACAGTCGCCTGTCGTCTAGGAAACTGCGAGATCAAAAAAATACTTCCAAGTTATTCTTTTTCATTTCCTTTTTCCCCTTCGTCTATCACTCTTCACCTCTCCTTTGGCTCTGCCATCATTTCTGCACAACACTTTCTGAAAGCTTTTCTCTCAGGCACACAAGATGTTGTCGATGGACTTTAAATAGGCGGCTTGCGTGTCTGTGATTCTGTGCTTGTGAATAGAGACCCCTGCAGAGACCGGCTATAAACACAGTAATGCATGAGTGCTGATACAGACACAATACCACATGCTGAAGCAGAAAATGACACACAAATGAGCAGTTCCTTTTTTCAAATAACACTCCCACACAAAAAAATAAAAACATTCTCTGCAGAAACAAACCAGTGATCATTCATTCATCATAGATTTTGTTTTTGGATTTATAATGAGCAATATTTCAAGTTTTTTGCATTCACATTCTCTCGTTTATCTTAATGAGGAGTCGTTTATCTCCGCATGGTCTACGAAGCTCTATTTCAGGGCTCAAGTTAAATTGTGTCTCATCAGTTTGTCATTTGTCTTTTATCCAAACAGACTGTGACATTCACTGTATGTGTGGAATAACAATTTCTGCATGGCTAATGAATCTGAATCATTTCATCGGCTTCGTTTATCATTCAGGTCTCACTTCAGTTGTTTTTGTTTATGTAAATATGATGGATTGTGTTCAAAGAGTTCCTTCATTTGTACTAGGGTAGTAAAGGACACTCTTTGTACTAGACATTACATTCTTTTTTCAGCAGGAAAATATGGGAACGTTATGTAATAGGACAAAAAATTGCACACAAATACTTTGAAACTATGGCAAACTGTTTCCTTAAAAACTTAGTGTGGTGCTCATAGGTATTAATTATGTTCTGGTGCTTATTTATTAGAAACATGTTGATATTTATCACGATCATTAGTACTATTTATCACTGTCATGTGAGGACACTGGATGACAAATTTGAGGATACAAATGCAGGTTAATTTAGGAGAATCGTTTTACAGTCAACAATGTAAACAAAAGAACAAAGCAAGGGTCAAACACAGCAAGGCAAGACGCATCGTAACGCTCACAATACAGATAAACAAGACTCAGCAATGATGTGTGTGTGTGTGAGTTGTGTTTATAGTCCATCTGGGGTGCTTTTCCCAAACAACAACATAACTCGCGGCTGAAATTTCATAGTGCGATGCATCGTTTGGGAAAGAAACAATGTAGTGAGGAGTGTTTGCCAAAACCGTAGTTGCTTTGCCGCAGATCTATTGTTTGAACCACGTTATAGTTATAACGCAAAACGTCCATAATGGTGCTCTAAATGGGCTGGAGTAACTAAATTAATTTAAAGCATTTACGTATTTTTGTTTTTTTACAAGCTTTGGAGACGTAATGTAAATCCCACTTTTAAATAATAGGTCACCTAGAGCTTTCATCATGAGCCATGCCTGTGTTCAAAGTGGCATAAATGTTTTCAAAGTGCACTACAAACAGAGTGCAACTGTCAATATGAAGATCGCTAAAACTGAACTGTAAAAATACTTTGAAAGCAATTTACACCTAAGAAAGATGATGAATGTTTTTTGTTTTTTATTATCATTTTATATGTAGGGCCAGACGGAATCTGCGGACGCTTTTTGCTATTTCTGCGGAGAATTTTGGTAAAAATCTGCAGATTTCTGCGGAATTATTTTAAGAATATCCAGCGAAGTATCATAACTTACACTTTAATATATTAAATAAAAAGTAATAAATTACTGAATAAAAACCGAATAAATTCCGATTTACACATTTACTCAAGTAATTTATAATGGGCTAAAAAACTGCAGAAATCTGCGGAATCCTGCGGAAAATCTGCGGAATTCTGTGCGCACAGATTCCGTGTGGGCCTAGTTATATGTTAGAATATTCTAAAGGAATAGGGCAAAGGGGGGATAAGTGTGAATAGAACACAGCCAGGTATTATGCTTCTAACTACAGCTCTAGAGGTGTAGTTGTAAGCGTACAAGTTTGTGATGCAGTATGCGCATATTCGTTGGAACGACGGATTTGGGAAATGCCAAATCAATGAACTAACAATGGTTTTTGCAATTATGGGGGATCTGAGCCAGGTGTGTGAGTGAAGTGCTTGATGGGATTTGTAGTTCATTAAAGTGGCAGATTTGTAGTTTTTCAGCAATCTGCACAGGCTGGATCGCTGGTGACCATGACAATCACGAGTACCTTAAAAAGCTTTCTAGTAAAATAAAAAGCCTTACTAATAACATTTTTAAAAGTGCTGGTATCTAATACATTTGTACTATTATCTATTACTGGCATTTAATGTATATGTATCAGTTTTTATTTAATATATGCAATTTTCTAGTTTACTAGTATACAAGTATGTAAAAAATAAGAACTAGTGTTTTAAAGATTAAGTAGTAAGTATTAATATGTGCTACTTAAAAAAATACTAGATATCTGCTGGTACAGAGTTTCTCAACCATGTTCCTGCATGGAGGATCACCAGATCTGCACATTTTCCATTTCTCCTTAACCAAACACACCTGATTCAGATCATCGGCTTATTAGCAGAGGCTGAAAGACCTGTAATGGGTGTGACAGACAAAGGAGGCATCCAAAACACGCAGTATTGGTGGTCCTCCAGGAACATGGTTGAAAAACACTGTGCTAATATGTAAAAAATATGTACAGTTGAAGTCAGAATTATTAGCCCCCCTGAATTATTCACCCCCCGTTTATTTTTTCCCCAATTTCTGTTCACCAGAGAGATTTTTTCAACACATTTCTAAACATAATAGTTTTAATAACTCGTCTCTAATAGCTTATTTATTTTATTTTTGCCATGATGACAGTATAAGATTTGACAAGATATTTTTTAAGACACTTCTATACAGCTTAAAGTGACATTTAAAGGCTTAACTAGGTTAATTAGGTTAAAGGCAGATTAGGGTAATTAGGCAAGTTATTGTATAACGATGGTTTGTTCTGTAGACTATTGAAAAAAAAAATGCTTAAAGGGGCTACTAATTTTGTCCTTAAAATGGGTTTAAAAAAAATTACAAACTGCTTTAATTCTAGCCGAAATAAAACAAATCAGACTTTATTCAGAAGAAAAAATATTATCAGACATGCTGTGAAAAATTCCTTGCTCTGTTGAACATCATTTGGGAAATATTTTTAAAAATCTAAAAAATAAATAAATAAAAGGGGGGCTAATAATTCTGACTTGCACTGTGCATGACAGATCGCCATGGACGTCAATGTTTATTTTTCACTTAAGAGAGTAGAGTAATTACAAATCACTCCTGAGATATCTAGATCAGGGTTGCCCAAACTCGGCCCTGCAGATTTTAGCTCCAACTTGCCTCTACCCACCTGCACGGATGTTTCTAGAAAGCTTAGTAAGGGCTTGACTAGCTAGCTCAGGTGTGTCTGATTGAGGTTTGCAGGACACCAGCATGCCAGGACCAAATTTGGACACCCCTGATCTAGATACTAGTACAGAATGTTAAGAGTATGCACAAGTATATGTACTACTTTCTAAAGAATAAGTATCCAATAAATAAGTATTACTGTCCAATAATTACTCTTGTGATGAAACGGTGCTAATATCTAATAAAAAGGACTAGAAGCCATTGAAAAATTCCAGTTAAATGTTTAAATGGCTCATCATATTAAAGCAAAATGCAGTTTTGTTTATTTGTGTGTATTTGATATTGTAGTGAAGGATGGGAGATGGCAGTAGCACAGGATTAGTAAAGAGGTCAACATTTCCCACAGGGTTAGATCTTGCACTGCCTTCAGCTCTCATTTACCTGTCAACTTTTGTATTTTTAAAAAGCAGCTATTATGACGCATGTATTCATGACTTTACCTGACACTTAAGTCCTGAAGGGTTTCTTTTTTTATTCTGATCTGAGTCACAGAAGCATGACTTGAAGTTTTAGGCTTTCGTTCTTTTTAATATTGACCTCATCAACCCAACTATCCTAACCTGACTAAAAATATTCCTGAATCTCGTCATATTTTGTATGAACAGAAAACATAGGTTGATCCATGAAGTTAATGGAACACAGTTTATCAACAAAAATGAAGAAAATAGAATATTATTCCTGTTATTCTCTGAAGCTGCCAAATGAATTTCTCAGCTGCATTTTTGCGCAGAATTCATATAATAAATGTAAGTGCCAGAAATGGCAAAAGTACACACATCCTTTACTCAAGTAAAAGTACAGATATGTTTAAAACAACTCTGGTAAAAGTTGAAGTACAGATTTCACTTTTGTACTCAAGTAAAGTACGACCTGAGTGAAGTACGACCTGAAATTTGAAGCATTCATTATTACATGTTTTAATTTCACTAGGTAGGTAAATATCCATTTCCCCCCATGTATCATTATCCTGACGCAAACTCATTATATTTTTATTCATGAATTGCTAGTTACTTTTGTTGTTATAAAGCATTTGTAAAAAATTAATGAAGATTAATATTCCTATATGTAAAATCAAATAGTCACAAAAAAACTGCAAAAATTGTAATAGGAAATATGAACTCATTGGAAATAAAGTCAATAAATCTCAATACATAAAGTTTTTATAAAGTATTTGGCTGTTATTAGTACTAAATGTAAGAATCTTTACAAAAAAAAAAAAAAAACTACTTTTTTCCCCACAGTATTAGATTGAAGAAGCAGAGAATCCTGTGTTACATGATTGGAGGTGGACAAGAGACTCTTAACCTTCAGCATTTACATGGCATGTTTTTTAACTGGAATGTGTCTCTTTTGTTTACCTGTGATCTGATCGAGCAAAATGTGTCTTATTAATACCATGTAAACAGGGCAGCATCAGTCATGTAAAATTCGCTGTCTGCCTGTCTTATCTGCATAGTCATCTCGGCTTTCTCATGGTAATCTTCATAAACTAGCCTAAGGCGCGTGATAGCCTTGGTTGAAAAAGGCGCACACTGCAGCGTGCAGGTGCAATGACAAAAATAGAATGGCTGCATCACAAACTCAAATTGTGCAATGACAAGAAATAATATAGATCGAGCCAACAAACACATGAAAACAAAAGTAACAACTCTGATTTAAAAATGTACAAAGAAAGTACAAATATTTGTGAAAAAAAGTAAGGAGTAAAAGTAAAAAGCTGTCAAAAAAATAAATACTGGAGTAAAGTACTGATACCAGAACACTAACAAAGTATTTGCAGTTCATTACTTCCGATCTTTGGTGAGCACACAAAACTCCATCGTTTACAGTAGTGACTAATCTAAACGACACTGATTGGCTACTGCATTGATAAACTCACCAGTAATGGCAATGATTGGTTATGTTTTAGTGTGGACAACTGCGGTATCATCTTTTAACTAGACTAAATTATTTAAAGGGTCTATCACTTTCTTGTTTTAGGCACTGAAACCAAACTGTTTTTTGTATAATCTATTTTACATCTTTATACTCTCTTTTACATTATGTGCCAGTAGCTGTTTTAAGTCCACTGCTTGTTTGTTTTTTCTCTGTAAAGCACTTTGTGCGGCCTTATGGCAGTTGGAAACATGCTATATAAATAAATCGAACTTGAACTTGTAATTTTAATTGTTCTCTTCTCTTCTCTTCTCTTCTGCATCGTCCTCCAGCACATCCTAATAGTTCAGAGGCAGCTGTCGGTTCTGGAGGAGGAGGTGGAGGAGTTTCGTCTGGCTCTGCGGCAGTACATTGAGTGCTCAAGCGCTCAGACCGGCTGCCTCCAGTGAGTTCACAACACTGCACTTCTGAGTCAGTTGAGGCCTGTTCTATATATCTGGATAATCACCCCTATGTCTGATTCACAGCCACATGTTTGAATATGTTGACTAAGATGTTGTGGTTGACTTGGATGTTATGATGTTTGTGGCAGGGTCACAATATAACAGGGAGCTAGAGAGCACCACAAATTCAAGATAAGATGGGAAATACAGTGCATCCGGAAAGTATTCATAGCGCTTCACATTTTCCACATTTTTTTTGTTACAGCCTTAATCCAAAATGGATTAAATTCATTTATTTCCTCAATATTCTACACACAACACCCCATAATGACAATGTGAAAAAAGATTTTTCTGAAATCGCTGCAAATTTATTAAAAATAAAAAAGCTGAAAAATCCCATAAGTATTCACAGCCTTTGCTAGGAAGCTCTAAATTGAGCTCAAGTACATTCAGTTTCCACATTCTTGAGATGTTTCAGCAGCTTAATTGGAGTTCACCTGTGGTAAATTCAGTTGATTGGACATGATTTAAAAAGGCATACACCTGTCGATATTAGGTCCCAGGGTTGACAGTGCATGTCAAAGCACAAACCAGGCATGAAGACAAAGGAATTGTCTGTAGACCTCTGAGACAAGACTGTCTCGAGGCTCAAGGCTAGGGAAGGTAACAGAAAAATTTCTGCTGCTCTGAAAGTTCAAATGAGCACAGTGGCCTCCTTCATCCGTAAGTGGAAGATGTTTGGAGTGACGAGGACTCTTCCTAGAGCTGGCTTCCTCTAAGCTGAGTGATCAGTGGAGAAGGGCCTTAGTCTGGGAGGTGATCAATAACCCGATGCTCCACCAATCCACCAATCAGGCCTTTATGGCAGAGTGGCCAGACGGAAGCCACTCCTTAGTAAAGGACGCATAGCAGCCCACCTGGAATTTGCTAAAAGGCATCTGAAATAAAATTCTCTGGTCTGATGAGGCTGAAATTGAACTCTTTAGAGTGAATGCCAGACGTTACGTTTGGAGAATACCAGGCACTGCTTATCACCAGGCTTAATACCATTAATACCAGGGGATGTTTTTAGCAGCAGGAACTGGAAGACTAGTCAGGATAGAGGAAAAGATGAATGCAGCAATGTACAGAGACATCCTGAATGAAAACCTGCTTCAAAGTGCTCTTGACCTAAGACTGGTGCGACGGTTCATCTTCCAGCAGGACAATGACCCAAAGCACACCGCCAAAATATCAATGGAGTGGCAACAACTCAGTGAATGTCCTTGAGTGGCCCAGCCAGAGCCCAGACCTAAATCCACTTGAACATCTCTAGAGAGATCTGAAAATGGCTGTACACCATCGCTTCCCAACCAACCTGATAGAGGTTGAGAGGTACTGCAAAAAGGAATGGGCAAAAATTCCCAAAGACAGGTGTGCCAAGCTTGTGGCATCGTATTGAAAAAGACTTGAGGCTGTAACTGCTGCCAAAGGTGCATCAACAAAGTACTGAGTAAAGGCTGTGAATACTTATGCACATGTGATTTTTCAGGTTTTTTTTATTTTTTCTATATTTGTAACAATTTCAAATTAGTCCATATTATGCTGCGGTCACACTAAAGTTTGTGTGCGCGAAATTCTGTAGTACAGCTCTGCGAAAAGGGGCGGGATTAAACAAGATAATGAGACATTTAAAAAAGCAAGCGTTTGGTCAATGTTTTAAATTTCCGTCCAGAGAGGTCATGTTTTGATCTTCGATTGGTCTCACGCAATCATGTGATGCGATTTCACAGGTCAAAGTTCACCAAGCTTGAACTTTCCAACGCAGCGTACTGCGAAACTTGTCGCACGAGCATGTGTTTCCGATCTGATGCAATCATGAACGTATGAATAGAAGTCTAGGGGAGAAAAGTCCAGTGTGACCCCAGCTTTACTCCCAGATTGAAATGACAGCATTTTTAGAGAGCACATTTCTGGGAAAAATGCTTTATTTCTAGCAATTGCAAGTTACACGTTTCTTTTCAAATCTTACTCTACTTTCTATTTCTATATATTTTTTGCAATTCTACTTATTTTTTAAAATACAGAATTTCTCACACAATATAGCTTAAAGGGTAGTAAATTGAAGTTACAAATTTTTCACGAACATGCACGCGCACACACATATTAGTATAAAAAGCTTCCCTTAGAAAGTAGAAAATAAGAGGATGAAAATTTATTCTAGGCACACTGTTTGCAGGGCTTGTGGAAAAACCTTTTTTTTTTTGCCCGATGAAAACAAACCTACAATTATTATCATGAAACTCCAATTAAACGTTGAAGTATAAAGAAGAAAAAAGTCCTGCTCACGCGGCAAAGCTCGTGTAACGTCTGCAAACTTGACAGTGGTGCGTGAATGAATTGCGTCAAGCTGTGATCATGTGGCCGTGCGTTTACAAGCCCTCAGTCCAGCCTTGACTTTTAGCAGAGACATACCAAAAATGTCAGTGATCACATTAGACAGCAGGAGATTTCTCTTCAACACTGGCCTATAAAGGTGAACCCTTTGTCTGGTTCAACATACTATTGGATTTTTACTACAGGATAATAAGCTTAGGGAGTTTGTTTTAAATTATTTAACAATTTATTCACTTTAAGATTGAAGTGTCTGCTCAAAAGTGTCAGATAGATTGTGAGCTCAAAAACACTGTCCAAACAAAATATCTGATGACTTTTTTTTTTTGAATGGGGAAATTGTTTATAAAAATATATAATTCTGTCATTATTTTCATTATTCTGTCATCACCCTCGGGTCATTCACACCTACTTTTTTTGCACAGCAGAAGGGGCATAGAAATACATGGAAGCCTGATTCTGCCACTAAATTAAAAATAAAGGTTATTGTGACTTTTTAATCTCGAAGTTGCATGATACAAACGTGGAATTCTGACTTTATAACTCAGAATTGCAACTTTTTATGTAATTTGCTATTTCTATTTATATTATATTATACTATTTATATAAATATTTATTTTTATATAGACATATAAGGAATATTTTGGTTAAATAGTAAGGTAATAACTTTAATAACCTAAATGGTTACACTTTACTATAAGATTGTATTAGTCTATGTTAGTTAATGCTTTTACTAACATGAACAAACAATGAACAATACATTCATTACAGCATTTGTCCATGTTGTAGTTGTTCATTGTTGGTTCATGTTAACTCGTGGTGCCATAACTAATGTTAACGAGCATGAATTTGCATTTAATAAGACAATTTGTTGTTAAGAATCAAATGAGCTGATTCAGTTTTACACAAATTATTAAAACACAAATACACAAATTATTATATTTTGTATCACATTCGCGCACACTTACATAGAAATGAAGTTGTATGCTTGTTAGGGTTTAGTGTAAGCTGAAATGTACTTAGTCAGTTAAAAATCTGTTAATCTAGTCAGTTAAAAATCTGTTGAAGGAGCAGTATCAGCAGATATTAAGCAGACAGTCTACTAATACTCAAATGGACCATCAAAATAAAGTGTTACCCAAACAACTTGTGGTTGAGTTGAGTTTAGGAAATATTTTCAAACCCCTCATACACAGAATTAATTTGAAACTGACAGTAATACTCCAGTGTTTTTTTTTTGTTTTGTTTTGTTTTCGGCAGTGTTGCAGTACAGCGACTCTCCAATGAATCTCGCTTCATTCTCTATGAGTTCTGGGAGCACAGCAACGTGTGGAAGAAGTGCGTCTCTGCTTTGTTAATTGCAGAAATTTAACTATTTTAATGTCACTGCCTAAAAAAGTGTACTTGTGTTGTATTTCTAGTCACCTGCAGACTAACTACAGCAAAACCTTCCAGAGGGGAAATGTGGATTTCCTCGAGACGCCAGAGATCATGACGACTATGCTGGTGCCAGGTGAACTTTAGTATAAATACCCAGAATGTAATGTAATATAATATAATATAATATAATATAATATAATATAATATAATATAATATAATATAATATAATATAATATAATATCCCAGGAGATCATATATTATATGACTGATCAGTATTAATTTTTTTAGCCCAATAATTAGTTTAATTATATTATATTGTTCTAAAGTGTGTTGTTTTCTAACTAATGACATTCTCCTTTTTGATAGTTATTTAATTTTTATTTATCCTAAATAGTTAATAATTAATGATAACTCTTTGTAATTATAAATAATACATTAATAACATTAATAAAACTAATCTTAATATTATAAAAAATACATTAAAATATATTTATAAAAATAATTTTAATAATATTCAATTAATGATTAAAAATAATAAATAATTAAAAATGCAAATGTGTTTTGTTGGGGACTTATGATATCATTAATGATATTATCTGTACAATTAATAATTAATAATGATATATTGTGATTGATCAATATTAACATTTTTGTAGCCCTATGATTATGTTATATTATATTTGTCGAAAGTGTGTTGTTTTTACACAACTAATGACATTCTCCTCGTTGTTATTTATATAATTATTATTCATCCTAAATAATTAATATAATGCTTAATTGTCCGTAATGTATGAGTTGGGCCGGAAGGGCATCCGCTGCGTAAAAACATGCTGGATAAGTTGGCGGTTCATTCCTCTGTGGTGACCCCACATTAATAAAGGGACCAAGCCGACAAGAAAATGAATGAATGAATGATGTTTTGAGTTGTTGACAACTAAACTTATGATATCATTACTTATATTATTTGTACAATTATTTATTAATAATGATTTATTTAACAATAATATCATGAACCAGTATTATTTTTTGTAGCCCAATGATTATGCTACTTATTTTATATTATATTATTCTAAAATGTTGTGTTTTCAAACAACTAATGACATTCTCCTTGTTGTTATTTATATAATGAATTATTATTCATCTTAAATAATTAATGATAACTCTTTGTAATTATAAATAATGCATTAAAAACATATTAATAGAAATAATATATTAATAAATAAGAGAAAAAAATGTAAGTGTGTTTTGTGTTGACTTATGACAGCTAAACTTGTGACAAACTTATGATATCATTAATAATATTATTTGTACAATTGATTATTTATTAATAATGATTTAATTATTGATAATATAATATAATATAATATAATATAATATAATATAATATAATATAATATAATATAATAGTCTAAAGTGTCTTGCATTGGATAAAAATATGTGACATCCTGCATGATATTCTGACTATAACTGACTTATTATTCAGTAATGATAAAGATTATTCATTGCTTTATACTCAATGATATATTTTTTAAATAATATAAAATTCTTGTATTTCTCCAGCATCATGGTGGGTCCTCAACAATAACTAGAGTGTGTGTGTGTGTGTGTGTGTTGACTGGCACTGGAGCAAAGCAGACAGTAAGAGGAGCACAGGACAGAAGACCACCATCAGGAAGAGCTTTCGTCTTCATATAGTGACTAGATCTAGAGTATCATGTCGTGACATTCTTAGCTCTGTACGAGTAGTAGAAACTGTAGAGGTTATCAAATAAAGCAATGAGATTCTGATGCATCATAAGAGCTGTTGATCAGTGCCGTCTGGTCTGTTTGTTGGTAGCTCAGGTCTGTGTCTCATCATCCTGACAACAGCTTCTTTCAAAGATCCTACAGTTCTGTTGTTGTAATTCATGTCGTTCGTCAACTCTGAATAAAACTAAATTCAGTGTAACCAACCTGTTATGTTTTCTCTAAAATTATGTCAAGTGCAGTGGTAAATTAAAAGGATGTGCCAGCTTGTATATCATTGACATGAGAGACTGAGAGAGAGAGACGCACACACACAGAAATCTAATTTGTTATAAATTAAATCTAAAATGTTGATTGTTAAATATACTGTTGATTTTTTTTTTATTTCTACTACCATGTCATTTGTCTTGATATGTTCTGTGTAATGTAAACATTACAAATGCTTTGGCAATACATATGTAACATTTGAGAGAGGAGACCAATAAAAACATCAGTGATGCACTTACACACAAACAAACACACACACACACACACACACACACACACACACACACACACACACACACACACACACACACACACACACACACACACACACACACACACACACATAACAATCAATCATTGTAAATATACTGATTATTATGTTGCATTGCTGATTATTATGTTATATTACACATATGTTGATTTATTCTAAAATGTTAATTGTTAAAATGTACAGCTAATTCTGATTTATTATTTTTTTCTTTTATTATTAGTTTCCTTTTATTTTTATTCATATTATTTTATTAATATTAATAATATGACTTCTCAGAGTCAGATGACTGTATGTGTGTGTGTGTGTGTGTTAAATTATTCTCACTTATATAGAAATGTGAAATATTGAACATGAGGACAACGCTTATAAATTGGCTAGAACATGTTTTATCAAATGTTAACAAGTTTCACTTGTTTGTCTGTGAGTTGGGTTTAAGGGTGGGGTTAGAACTATAGACACGTTCTACAGATGATACAATATGATACTGATACTATAGTCCAGGGGTGGCCAACCCTGCTCCAGGAGAGCCACCTTCCTGCAGATTTCAGTTGCAACCTATATCAAACACACCTGCCTGTAATTATCACGTGGTGTTCCGGTCCTAATTAATTGGTTCAGGTGTGTTTGGTATGGGTAGCAACTGAAATCTGCAGGAAGGTGGCTCTCCAGGAACAGGGTTGGCCACCCCTGCTAAAGACTGTATCATAAACATGATGTAAAAACAATGGAAGTCTGTAATGTTCTCATCAAGATAGGAACATAAACGTGTTTGTGTCTGTCGTGTTTATCTTGCAAGAATCAACACTGCCATCCAGTGGATGGAGAGGCTCAGGTCATGGTTTTATGATGTCATGGTTCTAAATTACATATTAAATGTTAATCAATAACAACACAATATCACACAGGTATATTGTTGGAAATCGCTAACATTTTTCTCATTATTTTGCTTTTTGAACCTTCAGATTCATAATTGCTTGTTTATTGGCCAAATATTGTCCTTTCCTAACAAAACATACATCAATTGAATGATTATTTATAAAATTTTCATATGATGTATAAATATTTTTTAAATGGCCCTTTGTTACTTGTTTTGTGATCAGTGGACACAATTTGCATTAAAAATATATAAGCATTTATACTTCATTTCTCACTTCCACCAATAAGGATCATTTTTTAATGGTGTCATTTTAACTTCACATTAGGTCCTCTGACCAATCATGTGCTCTCAGCTATTCTAACTGTTAAATATATAAGAAAATAACTTGTCTGCATGGTTCAGTTGAAATTAGGGGGAAATATCACTTAAAGGGTTAGTTCAGTGGTCACCAATCTTTTTATCAAAGCGAACCGGTCAACACTTGACAATTTTACCGCGGACCGGGGGGTGGTGGCGGTGGTTCGAAATTTGCTAGGCAACTATCAACAGTTTTAATGACAAGCTGACAAAACAATGCTGTCACTCTGATACAAGTTTTATTTTTGGAGAAAATAACATAGCATTGCAGTGTTTGAGCTAATTAGTCGACAGAAATGTGTAACGTTATATTTTATTTAACTGTGAGCACGCACCTTCATTGCAAACAACAAACTTGCTAACTTTAGTAAAGACTTGCGTTTAACTGTCATTTGCGCCGACCTTTGCGATGCCCAGCAGTTGATCTTCTTGCACAGACAAGCTGGATTTACCTGATATGTTGACAAATGGGTTGGGGATGCCTTTCCTTGGCAGTTCGTGACTCCTTCACTGTGCTTTCGTTATGTTGCTTACTCATAGGGCGCTCAAGTGACCGAGATGTAACTGAGACTGTCCTTTTTCATAATAAAAGAGTTTTCAAAATAAAAGATCAGTCAGACTCAGGTAATAAATAAAACGGAATCAATTAATGAGTTCTAGTGCGGCCCGATAACGTTACCTATTGATCCACGGACCGGTAGTTGAGGAGCATCATGTCATTCCAATCCTCTGACACCTTTGTCTGTCTTAAATCCATGAACAAATGAGCCAAAAAATATTTATAAAATAACATTGTTCGCCATATTGTCTTCTCTTACACAACAGGTCAGGGTGTGCATTACTACAGGCAATAAAGTGTATTTGCCATTAAAGTCATCAGTAAAACACACAAGCATCTATATGTAGAATATAAAAGTGTGCATGCGCTTCGTATGATTGTACGATGATGTGATGTTCTGATCATGTTTTTGGTTGCTTTTCTGGACTTTGCATGTCTTGTGACCATTGCTGTCTATGGAGGATGAGGGAGCTCTAAGGTTCACCTGAAATACCTTAACTGGTGTTCTGAAGATAAGCAAAGTTTTCAGTGGATTAAAATGACATGAAGGAGAGTAATAAACAACACAGTTTTTACTAACATTTTTTATTTTTATTTTTTACATTTGTCTAGGTGGTTATTTGGCAAGGTTTCGCCTCATTATAAATATATAAAAGCTACATATCAGTCTCATATCAGTGTTTAAGCTGGTGATGTCCTGTTGACACGGCTGCTCATCAGGTCTGGATGACGTAAAAAACATGACCTAAAGTACATGTTAATCTTAAGGACATGGCCTGTGAGTCGCGCAACAGTGCTTTGTTTTCTAATAGGCCTATATTTTTCACAGTTTTTACTGAAGGAAAAAATGGTGTCTGAGGCTCACGGTAAGGCCCTTTACATATGCTAAACTCTTATTATTCCACTTTGTATACCAAGATTTTCTTTACAACACCTTTAAACAAGCTTTATTTGGATTTCTTGATTGATTGGTTGTCAATACAATCGTCAGATGCTCATACAACTTGTTGGAAACTCATCTAATTCGCATTTGTTTCCTATTCTTTTCTAACTTTGAAAAGATTAATTACACATTATGATGGAAACTCTGCTATAGACCAGCAAAAACAAACACAAAAAAGTTTTCTATAAAAAAGAAAACGTAAACAGTGTGGTTCTAAAGTCTTGGATAAATATTAAATTGACTAATGTTAAGCGAACTTTGAAGAAAATTATAGATATTATATATGTATTAAAATGTCACAGATACAGAATGAATGAGATAATTATTGGCCCACTAAAAATCAACATTATTTTCATTCCAATTGGAGATATTTAAACTGTAAAGATTTTTCTCCATAGAAAATTCAATTCATGTTAATGTGGAGACAAGTCAAATCACAATTATAAAGTCTATCATTTGGTACGAAGCACCAAATGAGAGACTGTGTGGATTGAAAGGCATTTAGGAGGCTATTGTGACATAGAAAAATAATACTACACACAAAACATGTACACATTTCACAACCAAGATCAAGCGAAGCATCAAAAGACAATAAATATTTTACCATTTTATTGAGAAATTATCATTTTAAAAAGACCCAAGCCATATTCCAACTTGAACTACAGACTTTGTGTGCTCAGTTTCCTATGTACAAGGACTTCACTGGCTCGTCACATTCAGAACAAGTTAAGATAGTATTGTTATCTCCGTTTGTCTTGACGAAATACAAAACTACTGTAAATGTAAGCTACAGCAACACTAGCCAGGTGAATTGTGGGATTGAGCGGGCTTTTACATTCTACACACGGGAAGAAGCACGAGACACGTGGCATAACATTTCCACTGTGTCTTGTCAGTAAAAGACCAATAAAACACTGCTTCTGCATACAAAAAAGTCAAAGGAAAATCATGCACATGTCATTTCCCATTCGACAAGAGTCATTGAGTTTAATCAGTGAGGGAAATTACAGGACTACTCCAGGTTAACATTAGTTTCACAGCATTTGTAGTGTATTGTTGATTTTCACAAAATCATGTATTTTCATCCCTTGTTTTCTTTAAATACAGCAAGAATCATGTTATAATGAGGCACTTGGAATGGAATTGTGGATATTTTTTGTTTTTTTGATAACTTTAAAAAACAATTTTGTGATGGCAATGAAGCAGTAAAATTGTACAGAAAAAAGTAGTAAGTATTTACAAGTTTGGTGCCAGGTTAATCTTTTTTTTTATTTTTATAAATGATACAAAATATTACAAAAGGGTTCTGTTTTAAATAAATGCTGATATACTTAAACTTTTTTGAGAAGCTTTCTCTCAATACTGATAATAATATGTAGCCAGTAAATTAAATTTTAAAAGATACTTGAATAAAAAAATGTAACAATGGAAAAAGGTAACCCCACAGTAGTCTTTTAAATAGATATAGAACAGATATAAACATGCCACACAGATGCATATAGAATTCCTTATAAAACTGCAATTGGAAACTTGCAAGAAATAAAAGTCAGAGAAAGCAGAAATCAGGCAAACAAAAGGCAAAATTTGAGGTAAAAAAGTTAGATTTGCAGAAAAATAAATCAGAATTTTGAGGAATAAAATATGAATTGTAAGCAAAAAATAAAACTAAGAGTTAATAAATTTGCACTTGCAGGAAATAAAATGCAATATTGTGAGGCATAAACTCGAAGTCTGACAAAAAAAAATCAGAACTGTGACATCAACGATAAAATAGATCGCCACTAAATTGCAGGAAATCAAATCAGTTTTAGCAAAAACATATAAATGCAAAAAAACTTTAATTGGAAAAAATGCAATTGCAAAAACACCCATGAATTAGCAATTGCAAAGAATATAGTTGTAACGCAAAGAGAGAGAAAAAAATCGAA